GGAATGAATTATCAACCCGACGAGAGATCTGGGACCTAAGTTTAGCTGGGTCAATTTTGGGCTGCGAGGGCATGAACCCATTTTTTCCATGCCTATGAGATGTTATTTCTAAGTACCAATGTTCCCTTGAATTTTGTCATGCCTAAATATATAAAATTTTCCCTCCCTCATTAATCCTCAGACTGGATGCGATTTTTACCCGCGCTAGGCATGTTCAACTGAAAATCATGCCCATACCTTTATTCAAAACAAAATGCTATCAAATTTTAGTCTCCAAGCCGTTTATTGAGCGGCCAATCTGCATTAACCCTGGCGTCAAGCGGCCACTTACTGGTACCCCGAGGGTGGCTGCTTAATAGAGGTTCAACTGTACGAGCTTATAGTCATATTAATTATTTGTGTTAAATTATAAGGGCAAGCTGCATACAGAGATCTTTCTAAACCGGCTCATCCTCGGACGGGTGTACTTAAAAACAACTTGCATTCCTTGTTAGTGACGTGACACAAAGAAACTCAAAGAAGTCAAGATGACAGATATACTAAGGAAAAAAGTGGTAACAAAAAACTGGAAAAAGAAAAGACTCCCCAAGATTTTTCATTGAGTTAGACGTAAGCTGGAACCGAGCAGGGCTAAGGGCCAGGGGGGCCTTCCTATTTTATATGAACCATTATAAATTCCTGAAAACCCACAGGCATAGAAAAATGGTGTTAAAGAAACAGATATTCTTTTCACTTGCTACACAGTTGTATTCCGCTAGCAAGAGATGTTAACCCTTAGAAATAAGTTCACTTTCCGAAATTTGAGTGCCTTGATGTTCCCGCTGGCCTGGTTTGTAGTTTGTTCCCAACAGCTTTAGTATTTTCAGTGGAAGGTAGACAGTCCAGGATAAATGTAAACAGAGTAGATAATTTATATACACCATGTTTAAACAATGATAAATTAGTTTTTCTTTTTTAATTTCGATCATTATTAGCAAAAAGGATGTCTTTTTCTTTTTTTAGAGAAGACCCCAGTCCAGCAAGTCATATTACACAGCGATTAAAAAACTCATAGAAGGATCAATACTTTGTGGCAAACCAAATGCGACTGTGGTAGATAAAAACGAATAATAAAGTAGCTAATATTTACGCCTTTACTCTAGGTTTTAATTTTACTTTTCACCTTCGTTATCGCACGTTATCATACATAAAGAGAAATGATATCAACGGAAAAATGAAAGCTATTTATACTTTTTTTTTTTTCCAGAAGAGCTGATAAGCCAGAAAAATAGTGACAACTACAACGATCTTCTGGAGAAGAGGTCGATTTTATCAACAATCTGTTATTGGAATGGATGAGAAAGGAGAAACAGAGGCGAACTGTAATCTTGGAAACACTAACGAGATTGACAATGAAGTTGGAGAGAAGAGAGAGAAAGAAAAAGGAAATAGTAATATTGGCGACGCCTATGTCAACCTTAAAGATTTCCGAAACGCCATAAAATACCTTGAAATATACCTCAAACGCTCGAAAGAAGTGGGAGACAGGGCAAGCGAAGGAAAAGCGTACGATAATCTTGGCACTACCTATAACGGTCTTGGAGATTTCCAGAAAGCCATAGAGTACCATGAACGAGGCCTCAAAATTTTGAAAGAAGTGGGAGACAAGGCAGGAGAAGGAAAAGCGTACTGTAATCTTGGCAACGCCCATCACAGTCTTGGAGATTTCCAGAAAGCCATAGAGTACCATGAACGAGGCCTCAAAATTTTGAAAGAAGTGGGAGACAGGGCAGCAGAAGGAATAGCGTGCAGTAGACTTGGCAACACCTATCGCAGTCTTGGAGATTTCCAGAAAGCCATAGAGTACCATGAACGACGACTCAAAATTTCGAAAGAAGTGGGAGACAAGGCAGGAGAAGGAAAAGCGTACCGTAATCTTGGCAATGCCTATCACAGTCTTGGGGATGTCCAGAAAGCCATAGAGTACCATAAACGACAACTCAAAATTTCGAAAGAAGTGGGAGACAGGGCAGGAGAAGGAATAGCGTACAGTGATCTTGGCAACACCTATTGCAGTCTTAGAGATTTCCAGAAAGCCATAGGGTACCATGAAAGACAACTCAAAATTTCGAAAGAAGTGGGAGACAGGGCAGGAGAAGGAACAGCGTACTGTAATCTTGGCTTCGCCTATCAAAGTCTTGGAGATTTCCAGAAAGCAATAGAGTACCATGAACGAGGCCTCAAAATTTTGAAAGAAGTGGGAGACAGGGCAGGAGAAGGAAAAGCGAACGGTAATCTTGGCGTCGCCTATAAAAATCTTGGAGATTTCCAGAAAGCCATGAGTACCATGAGCGACACCTTAAATTTTCGAAAGAAGTGGGAGACAGGGAAGGAGTACGAATGACGTACAGTGGTCTTGGCAACACCTATTGCAGTCTTGGAGATTTCCAGAAATCCATAGAGTACCATGAGCGACACCTCAAAATTTCGAAAGAAGTGGGAGACAGGGCAGGAGAAGGAAAAGCTTACGGTAATCTTGGCAAAGCCTATGACTGTCTTGGAGATTTGCAGAAAGCCATAGAGTACAATGAAGGGCACCTCAAAATTTCGAAAGAAGTGGGAGACAGGGCAGGAGAAGGAATAGCGTGCGGTAATCTTGGCAACGCCTATTACAGTCTTGGAGATTTCGAGAGAGCCATAGAGTACCATGAACGAGACCTCAAAATTTCGAAAGAAGCGGGAGACAGGGCAGGAGAAGGAAAAGCGTACGGTAATCTTGGCAACGCCTATGACAGTCTTGGAGATTTCCAGAAAGCCATAGAGTACCATGAACGAGGCCTCAAAATTTCGAAAGAAGTGGGAGACAGGGCAGGAGAAGGAATAGCGTACGGTAATCTTGGCAGCACCTATGACAATATCGGAGATTTCCAGAAAGCCGTTCACTATTATAAAAACAGTGTTATTGCCTTCGACCATATCAGGGGAAATCTTATATCTGATGACGAATGGAAGATTAGCCTTGGGAGTACCTATGATGCTATTTATTTGAGGCTATGGGGGCTGCAGTTTAAACAAGGTAAAGTCGTCGAGGCACTTTTAACTGCCGATCATGGACGTGCCCAAGCCTTAAATGATCTTCTGGAGTTCAAGTATGGGTTCAAAAGGTTACGTCCAGAAATAGGAACACTCTCTGCAACAACACCTGACATTCTTAGTTACCTTCCATCAAATACAGCTTTCATAGGTATCAACGAGGGAGGAATAGTTCTCTGGCTCAACGAGAAAGGAAAAGAAATCAAAACTAGAAGAATTCAGATCGATATGCCTGTTTCAACCTATTTTCAGTCTCTATTGGAGACTGCACATGAAAAAATAGGTGTGAGAGCTGATGTTAACTGTGAAGATCGCTCACTAAGGAACCGAAGCGATAAAAAGTTAGCAGAAGAAAGATCCAGTAAGCCAAGGTCTCATTCCTCATCTTTTGAGACAATGTCATTACAAACATTTTACAATGTTGTTATTGATCCTATAAGAGACTTACTCCATAGCGATGAGGTTGTGATTGTTCCACAAGGATCTCTGTGTTTGGCGCCTTATGCAGCTTTCATGGACTTGAAATCAAAGTACCTCTGCGAAAGTTTTAGAATTCGTCTGCTTCCCTCACTTTCTAGTCTGCGATTAATCCAAAACTGTCCAGCAGATTGGCACAGCAAGACTGGTGCTCTTCTAGTCGGCGATCCGTGGGTACAGGAGGTAGTTTATGAAGAAATGAGGCTAGAGCAGTTAGAGTGGGCCGAAAAGGAAGTGCAAATGATCGGGGAAATACTTCAAACTGTACCTCTCGTTGGAAAGCAGGCAACAAAAGATGAAGTTTTGAGACGTATCTCCTCGGTTGCTTTGGTGCACATTGCTGCTCACGGTAAAATGGAGACAGGAGAAATTACCTTGGCCCCAAACGCAAAAAGGCAGTCCCAGATTTTAGACAAAGAGGACTATCTCTTAACTATGAAAGATGTTTTAAAGGCGCAGATTAGGGCAAGACTTGTTGTACTTAGTTGTTGTCATAGCGCAAGGGGAGAAGTCAAATCAGAGGGTGTGGTCGGCATCGCACGGGCATTTTTGGGTGCTGGTGCTCGTTCTGTTCTGGTGTCCCTGTGGGCGATCGACGACGAAGCTACAATGGAATTCATGAAGTTTTTCTACCAACAATTAGTCCATGGACGAAGTGCCAGTGAGGCCCTGAATAAAGCCATGAAATCCATGCGAGAATCTGAGCGCTTTAGCGCAGTGAAGTACTGGGCGCCGTTTGTGCTCATTGGTGATGACGTAACGCTTGAGTTTGAAGGCAGCGATTAAATAGTAAGGTATTTTGGGATATATTTAAACCTGGGATCATAATCCCTGCTTTTGCAAAAATCATTTCGCTTTATAGGGCAACGAACTCAACCGGTGCCACTTAACGTCAATCTACCTATCATAGGTCAAGTTGACAGCAACAAAGGAGTGTGATTTCGGTAATTTGTTTGGCAGTTAAACACTACAAAATTTACTTCAAATCTCATGATATCTTTACATTTCAGTGTGTCGTTGGCCCCGTTTGATTTCGTTCCGTTGAAACTTATAGTCGAACCTGACGTAAGCGCCGACCAAAAATGCCAAGATCAAACTTCCGGTCGCTTATTTTACGGAAGTGTTCACTAAGGAACTTCTCCAGATATGGCAAGTCCTCCATTAAGCCCCCTCAGGTGGTTATTCATTTCAAAAACGTTTGAGAGGGATGAGGGGCTTATTTGATTAGGCGAAGATTGTGGTATCATTTCTCCATAAGGAACTAAAACCCAAAGTGGAAAAGATGAGGCACATGAAGTTGGAGGTCATAAAGCCAAAGATCAAAATCAAAAGCGAACTTCCAGCTCGTAAATAAACCATACCGGATTATCAGTCCACATGAGGTGCTACAGTCGTGATAAATTAATGCATCTATCATACGTCTATTATTTAAGAATAGGGAGAGGGGGTTTTAATAACTTTCTTTCCCTGAAAAGGGAAGCTTATTAGAGAGTGGGGCTTAGTAGAGGATTTACGGTATGCAAGATTCTTTAAATCTACAATAAGTCTTATCTTTGGTTGAAGTTACCAGTTTAACAGATTTAGGGCATTTCGATTCACCGTATTCCGCGTCCCAAATAAGGTTAAATGGAACAAACTTGCTAGAAATCACTTCTTTTGACTTTTATTGTACTGCCATATCTACAAAAATGATTGAAGTAAAGTATTCTGATCTATGTAAACTTTAAATGGCTCAAAAATTTGCAGAATAGAAGCGGTTTGTAACAAAAATTTGTGTATTCTTATTCTGGAATACGATCAATCAAGCGCACTCTTAGAAGTCAGTTGTCAAAATGTTATGCCTCGCTTGCTGAAATCACTCTCCTTTCCTTCTGCTAGCTTGCTAACGTTACTTTTTGCTGTTTTTGTTGTTATTGTATAGGTATGATGAAGAATGCAGTGAAGCAGCCCTAATTATCTGAAGTTGAACCATCAGTTTCTAATTTGTCACAATTACGAGTGGGAGCATTCCTCGCAAGAGTAGGGACACTTTATTCCGAAAAAAAAAATTATATGCTGTTAATGAATAAGTTGAAGCTTTTCGTAGTCTGAAAATTACAGTGTACGTTTGGTAGCTTGTTTTGCGACCAGTGGTGTGCACTTGAAACTTGTTTTATAGTCACCTTATCAGTAGGCAATTTTCGCTATTTTCAATGTTATACCGGCGTGCTTTTTGGGCTACGTTAATGCTTACTGCATCCCATAATCATGGTAATCCAATCATATATAATGTAATATATCAAGCATGAGACACATTGTTCCATCACCAGATGAAACATTTAGAAGGGAGTTGAAAATACGACGCGCAGTGGAGTATTTTTGACGAACTTCGAGGTGTTTCATCTGGTGATGAAACAGTGTGTGGAATGCTTGATATTACTTCTCGAACAAAAGGATTTTAAAAGGAGAAATTAAGGATGCAAAACGAGCAGTTTTTCATCTGATTCCCAAACAGTCATTAAACATTAATTTCCTTTGTATTTTCTTTATGAATTATTAATGAGTTTGAGAAGTATAGAGATAGAATACACAAAACTGAATCAAAATGTTACATGTTGATTTGTTTTTTATCATTTGGGTGGAGTACCTGAAAACTGGCTGAAAAACCAAGTGCACTTTCACTAAAAACCCGCGTGTAAGAACCTGCTGGAAGAAATTTGCCTTTTTAATACCGAAACATATACAATTTAACTTTATTGATTGTATCTTCAACATTACGATGTCAGTATCAAAACACAGAATGACAACTAGTAAAACAAGACGCTGTGGGAGCGTATATTTGGGAGTCTGTGTCCTAAGCATGTATTATGCGGTATTAGGGATGTGTGAGTAGTGCAGTAGCGTTGTATATATTTTAGGGGTTGGTTGAGATGTGTGACGGTGGAAGGCGTAGAGTTATATTGGACTTGGATTGGTAAGATAATAACTGTAGTTTGTTGATCACTGAAACTAGTTTCTGGTAGAATTTAATACGAAGTAAAAATTTTTTTGGTGTTGCAGTGGGTAGTTGTGAGAATGCTAATGTGGTTATGAAGAGATAGTGTAGTTTCAGTCTGTTGAAATGAAGTAGTGGTTGTGAAGGATCTTATCAACAGTCAAAACGTTAAACGTTGTGATGCTTTCTGTTTAGGATTGTTTTTCGGTTAATTTTGATAATATTTGTGTGGAGAGAACGTGAGTAAGGGCAAGTTGCTTTGATATAGATAAGGGGCTATGGAGATGTTGAGGCGTGTGGGGGGGGGGGGGCTGAAATTTGGTGGGGGTGTGGGGGAGGGTTGGAAAAATGGGGGAGGGAAAAGGGGGGGGGGGAAAATGGGGTTATAGAACTAAGGGCCCGAAAAGGTGGGGGGGACTGGTCCTCTTTGCGGAGATCTTGTCCCTTTGTTAAAGAAATATGGGTGTGGTATGGTTTTTTTAATATATCAAAACGTTATTGGGTGTTTTTTTTTTGTTTTAGGATTGTTTTGTTGTTAATTTTGGTAATATTTTGTGGGGGAGGCAGGGGATAAGGGGAATGTGTTTTGATAATGATAAGGGGGTTTTGAGTTTTTGGGGGGTGGGGGGGGGGGGGGGCTGAAATTGTGTGTGTGTGTTCGGGAAGCTTTGAAAAATCGGTGAGGTCAAAGGGGAGGGCGTAAAATCTGGCTATAGAACTAAGGGCCTGATAACGTGAGGTGGACTGGCTCTCTTTGCTGAGATCTTGGCACCTTAGTTAAACACAACAAAAATCAACTTTGCGATTATGTGACAACTGTTAAACAAAAATGAAAGCGATGAAAAATATTCGTAGTGCGTATGTTTTTTGCTTAAAATTATTAAAGAAATTTTATTTGGTGTTTGGGATTTATGACAAAAATTCATTCCATTCGGGAAATATCTATAGGTGATGGAGAATTCTCATAAAAAACAATTTGACTCATTTTACTTGGTGCTCAACTCCTACGCATCAACACTGATCAAATGACATCCTCCCTCGAAATGAGAAAATGATGTTCTGTTGATTCATTTTCTTTGGTCTTGTTGAAGGAAAATGTTGATCGAAGAGTTACTTTAGCCACTTGTGGCATTTGATACGATATATGTTTGTAGTAGAGTTGTTGTCAGCGTTCTTGTAGATTGATTTTAGTAAGCTATTTCACTACGAATAGTTTTGGCTTTTAAGTTTATTTGATGATCAATAGAAAATTTCTCCTGACATGAATTCGGTGCAAAGGAGATATACCAGTTTAATGCATCTCCGTGGTAACACTTCTATTCATGAAATATGTTTAATTAGAGTCTTTGACAGATGGCAAAGCCTCGTTTATGTTGAGTATTTTGTTCAGTTTAAGATTTTTTGACCTTAATCTGGTCGACGGTCGATATTTACCAGGAAATGACTACCTTACTTGTTTTAACAGTTTTAAGCGTGTCTCCTTGAGTTCTTCACCGAATTCATGGCAGTGGATAACTTTAATTAGATTTAAGTGATTTTATAGGTGTTTTTGTGGGTAAAAAGCTATTGTTCTAAATTCTGCCTTGCAATTTGAATTGCATTTTTAATTTTCCCTCTGAGTTTTGCGATCACGTCCGTAGTTAATTTATGGAAAAGTTTTAGCCAATCATTTTCAATGAAGAAGCTTAGCACCTTCTGTAAATCGACAACAACCTAAGATTTTCAAACTGTAGCTTTAGTACTTTCCTCTCTGTTGTTATGAAAAGTTTGAGTATGACTAGCTACTTTGTAGTTTTTATATTGTTGTCCTTGTTTTGTATTGGCCAGTTGACCTAAGCTTAATAGTGAAAACTTAGGTAGAAAAACCGTTTTGACAAAGTAATTACCTCGGAGGTTTCATGTTTATAAGGCTGTCTCAACCAATCAGATTAGACTTACGTCAGCATTAGATAACACTAAGCAGATGGTTTTCCGGCTGGTATAAAAATGGGTGAAACACTAATTTACTAGAGAGAGAATTGTAAAAGTTAGTAGCTGAAAGTGATTAAACCACCATGAGTCAAAAAAACGTTGTTTGTTGTAAGGGCTAGCTAGTCCCCTCCGAAAGTCCTTCCAACAAAACCGAGCCAGCCCGGCTAGCTGGCATCCCAGTATTGTGAAGCCGGGATCCCGGGTGGAAATTTTCCAAGTAATCACGCCTACTGGGCGGCCCGACGAATGAAGCAAGCGAGAGGGACAGCGGGTAACACACTGCTCATGCGCATTGCTTCCAATCTCTATATAAAAATGGCGGCTCCGGTCTTGCCCTTTTCATGTAATACCGGGATAAAAATCTCCTCGGCAGAGCTAGCCAGCCCGGCTCATATGATCACGCAGTTTGCAAGTGAAAACTTTGGAATAATAAGAGAATACGACCTAATCTAATTATCCCAAGGGTTTCCAAAAAACTGCCACGAACGCAGTTTGCACAGGAAAATGTTGGACACCGTCCCTGGCCTTTTACGGTTTGAAAGTGAAAGAACACAACTTGTTTACGAGATCATTTTGCTGATAAGATTTTAAGAAATCACATCCTTTTCGAAAATCAATAATGAAATTATACATCATTCAATGTTATCCTTATTTATCTCATCCACCATCACGGAATTTTGCGTGACATCTTCTTTGGCTCTCGACAACTGAGGGCAAAAATATTGTCAAACTCTTGGCAATGAGCCAAACCTGTCAATTCCAATTATTCGACAGATTTATCTTCAAGTTTCTGAAAAATCACCCGACTTCTAGGTAAGATAAAAAATACCGTAAGGTTAGG